GACGCAGCTATCATCAAATGTGTTTTTACCGCCGGAGACGTTTATTTTTGGCGTCTAAGACGTCAAAAACCTTCTCTGTGTATTTAGTCTTAGTTGGCCGGCGACCTCGAAACCAAAACCAACTTCACATGTGTTTTCCGCGCAAGAGATTCTTTTGCACCAGAGAAGCAGGTCTGACTTTCCCCAGCACTGAAACCATGTCGCATAGTTTCTGTGGAGCCGGCGCTTTTAAACACGGACGGAGGATGTTCTCAAAGCCGGAGTCTTTTGGCATTTAGAACCGATCCTTGACATTGCCGTTTCCGGTAAGTTGTTTTGACACCAAAGTAATCGGATTTGATTCCTTCGATGTCGAAACCAGAAATTAGTCTCAACTCTCTGGTGCCCGGTCACCGCCGTCCGAAGCGACTTTGCCTGATCTTGACAGCCGGCTAGCCCCGGAAAGAGTTAAAAAGAAAATATTTTTGACTTAATAAAAAATTATAGTTTTAGCAGTTATATAGAATATTTTTTTTAATATAATTTTTATATATTATTAAATTAAATAAATAAATATATTTAATAATATGAATTTAAAATAAATAAAAATATTAATTATTTAAATTATGCGTAAAATTATAAAAATAAAAAAATTATCTTAAATCATCCCTACAGCAGATGGGACCCACGACCTGCCATGTCATCATCTGTTTAGCTCCTACGTATTTCCACGTCATTTATGTGAAACTTTTATTCCACATTTTTTACGTTGAATTTGTCCAGATAATATCAGATATGAAGAAAAAGCCCCACAACTTTCGTTCAAATTGATTACCATCCTTGAACTTAAATTTCAAACTTTTTTTTTTTGTTTGAGTAATAAATTTCAAGCAATTTTTAATCCTTAAACTTTTAGAAAAATCAAGGCAATCTGACTTCATCCAGTAACATTAGCACAAAATGACATTTAGGAATGCAACATTAACAAATAATATGCAGATTACCTCAAATAATCTTCCATTGGCAATTAGTCTTTCAGACAAGTCATGGCAGAGACAACCAGCTAGGAAAGCAGAACGACTGGGAACAGGATCCTATGAGAACAACATGCAAAATCAGTAGCCGTTTCAAACCAACAAGAACATAAGGAATTCAATAGAAAAACAGGACTTACATTTGAAATGAGTTCGGAGACAACCTCTTTTACATCTTTAATTGAGGCACCTGAATGGATATCCCTTCTGGGATTGTTAGAGGCATGAGTAAAGTTGTTAAAGAAAAAGGAGAGATTTTGTTTCAATCCAATAAGCAATGGTTTGGAACTCCCAAGACACTGCACCCAGAAATCAATCAATTTCGAATTTTCACCACAATGCTCTGATAATTTCGTTATGAATGCCTCGTTAATGGGAGAAACACAAAGAGCATGATTAAGCCTTCTACATTCCCAGAGGGTAGCCACACATTTCTGCAGTGGCACATTCTTCAATTTATAAAATCTAATAATCAGCTCATATATATCACTGTGAAATTCCGTGCAACCCTGCAGATAAAGAGTTGAAGAAATTCACATAAACTTGTAAAATGAGATGATTTCCAGAACTCTAGTCTAATATGTGAGTGTGTGGAATTAATGATCTCACTAAATTTGATAAGCATACCTTAATTGATAACAAATCAACTACATTATATAGCAAGACGACAGTGTTTCTGAGCACCAAACTGAACTCATCATCCACAGAGCAATGATCAGTAGAGGATATGCTCAGCCACAGATCCAAGGCAGCATTAATGTCTTGAGAAATTTGCTGCTTGAAAGAAAAACCAAGAGTAAGATTGATCAAGAAAATTGCATCTCTTGTCAATCTACAGATAACTTACTAGTTAGTCAATCTAGAGACTAGCATTCAATGCATCTGTACCTTTGAGTCTGGTTCAGCTTCCTGCATACAAAGTGCACGCAAGCAATATGCAGCAGCAAGTTGATGACAAGGTGCAGCTCCAGACATACATGTTTTGCCACATATCTTTTTCTGTTTTAAGTTAAAATTTCGACTCAGGAATGAATCATGTCCAGAGAGAAATGGACTTGCAATCAAAGGGCCTTTCAATGAGGTAGTAGCAAAAAGAAAGAAATGAACCTGACATAGCTCAGTATCTTACCATTATAGATATAGCTTCAGACAAACACAGAATACAGTCCTTCAGACTTTCAATTCCATTGGCCCTTAATGCTCTTCCCTTCCTAATCAAGATTCTTGATTTGTGAAAGGAGCTTTCTTTTGTAACATACATGTGTTGTAAGAGAAAATCTATAGTTTTGATTTGCATTCTCTGACAAAAATCAGGGTACCGTGGATACATTTCTTCATATGCTAGAAGCTCCTAAACAAATTTCAAGAATAAAGACAAAGCAAGTATTTATCAGTCACAAGTTATTCATGAACGAGGGGAAATTTGATGAAACTCCTATACAAGGAAAGAGATGAAAAGAAGAGGCCAAACCTGCTCTACTATTGTGCAAATTGCACTCTTCGATACCTTTGCTGAAGATGATAGGGAAGAATATAAGCTTGGAGAACTGTCCTCTAGGTCTACATTGATATGTAGTTTACATTGCATCTGATAATCAAAACAACAATCAAGCACCAGCAACAACTATATAGTCTAATGAACAACCTAATAAGAAAAATAAACAAGAAGAAAAGGTTTCCAGATGTTACCTTAACCCACTGTTTTACCAAAGGCATAGGACTTGGCATCCCTTTAAGCAACTTTTCAGCAGCAGACCAATATTCAAGACTCTCTAAAATTCTATTTTCCACCTTAGCATCGCTACATTGATGGAGAACTTCAAAATAGGAGACACTTCGGGTACATGCTTCAGTAATGAAATTTGAAATAGCATCTTCCTTCAGCTGATCATTGAGACCCTTTTCTTTATCCACAAATAGCCGGCAAAGAAGTTCAACACAAGCCCATGATGTTCTATAACACAATTTTAACATCTCTGATGCCTGCAAAGAAAGATTTTCTCTTACACAGGAACAAGAACAAGAATGCTTATTTTTTCAATCAACATTGAAAATACTAATGTAAATAATATACATGCATGCATGGTTGCACAAAAAACATCCCTGCATGTATATGCAATCTAATTCTTTTATAGATCTGACATAACAGCATAGTCAATAACGGTAAACCAGGAAACTCCATGAACAAGGTACCTCTTTAATCTGTTTATTTCTGTACAGAAGAACTCCAGTGTTGTAGAGAGACGCAGAGAGATATTTCAAGCCCTGAGGTTGAACCCATTCACTGGAAATGATTTGCTTGATAAAATGCTCATTTTCCTGAAAGTGAAAATTAATTAGATAAGCAAAAGTTTAATAAACATTATCCTGTTCCAAAAATCATAAAACAAAGCAGTAATGCATCATCAAGGACAAAAATTTTAACTTTCCACTTCATATAGACACTATAGTGATGTCAACCTGCATTTTAAACTTTGTACAGACAGAAAGTGTGATCCCCGCCATAAAAACACCAAGTATGGGCATGTCATCAAATTCATCTCTCTCTGTTTTAGATAAAAATCTGCACAGATAAGTTAAAAAAAAAAAAAAAATTAGAGGACCCTTATTACAAGAAATTTTTTTACTTAACTGAGAACAAAATATTTCGCAGGACAAGTTGTCATTAATATTTATATCAAGATCATCCATAAATTGGGACCAATATTTTGCAACTCAGCTGCCGGTGTTAGCATACCACAGTTAATAACCATGGCCTACTAACGTATTATTGACTATCAGAGGACAAGAAGCTGTTTGTAATTTCAATCCATTATTTCAACAATGTGAGTGAGGGAGAAGTAATTCAAACTCAAGGGGAGAGTAAGATCCAATATCTGTTTCAGTTTGGCTATCTCATTTCAGCTGAAAACATAAGATATACTTTAATCACATCAAAGACAGTGTGAGCTCATGAAACTTTGCAAATAGCATACCTGTAATGATAAAGGAAAGTATCACAGAACTGATAAAATGCATCCTGGATACCACGTAGTTTACTAGGAACCGAAGTGGATTCAATTTCAGCAACTATTTGTTTTTTCTCTGAATTTACTTGTTCAGCAAGTGGTTGACACAAGAACTGCATTGCACGCAAGTACATCAATAGATAAGCTTTTCTATCTTTCTCAAGGCCAGTAGTGGAAGCCTGACTCTTGGAATTAAACTCTAAACACGTTCGACTAACAGGATTCTTATATTCAACTGCAGATGGCTTGGAAGTCCCTTTTTGATAAATAGAGAAATAACTTTCCAGCAAATGAAGCAAAGAAACTAAATCTTGGAGCTTATCCCCATCAAGAGACAAAAGTCTAATTGCAGACTCATGTTCTGCACTTATGGAGGAAGAAAAATCATCAGCCTTAGATTTAGCATCCTGCTCAGTGAAACCCAATCCAGTTGCATAAAGCCACAGTATCAGATGAAATGGGGTTGCAGTCTGCAATATAGAGTTAATTTAATTTAATGCTATATTAAGGGCAGCATTTTAATCATATAACATCGTAATAGATGCTGAAGTATGCACGCAAAATACCTGATGAAAATCATCTAGCAGTCTTTTTAGATGTCTTGCAAGAGTACTACAAAATATTGCACCTGCAGTTCGACACTTAATGGCACAATAAGCAACAAGTTCAACAAACTCTACTCCACCATTTTGCAAATCAACCTGCCAGCAAATATGTTTATTAATATGTTTATTGATTCTAATGCCCTAAATTGAAGTTTATCAAGCTTATTATGCAAATTACTAGAACAACTCTTACATCCCAACCTTGCATTTACCGGCAATGAAGTCCAGCACCCGTATTAATATGTTCACTAAGATTGAGCTCCCACTTCCCTGCTGCGAGAACGGAGAAGAACATATTTGCCTCGAAAACTGCACATCAAAGAGAAGTAAGAAGATTGAACAAAGAAGCCATTGACCATCAGAGGCTGAAAGATTGGATGGAAGCCGACCTTATAAATTTGATCTTTGATTGGTGAATTTGCATACTCAGTCAATGATGCAATGCAAAATGTACGTACCAAGTCCCCATCAAAACTCTTCATCTCCCCAACCAAAAATAGAGTACATTTACCAAGATAGGTCACAAGCACCCTGTTCAATTTATCATATGCATTGGCATCCAATACCCTGAAATCAGATTCACATAAAACAATCAGTCAAGTACCATCTCTTAGTCCAAATATCATGACAATACATTTTTGCGTGAATTAATCCTCCTGGATTGAACTACTAAATATCAGCATCCTGGATTGAACTTTGATTGAGAACAAGAAATGTTGTTAACTAATTGAACGGACCAATGGGTATTTCCATTCATCCAAACTAAACAAACAAGCAATTCCATACCTGAACCAAGGTCTAACCTCTACCACCAAATCAAGTACCCTCCAGTAGTCCCCAGAATCCTTACTCTGCCTCATGGCCACGCACCTCACAATGGTCGCCACAGCATCCACCAGCACCTTTCCAAAATCCGCATCACCGGGGCCGCCTCGACTATCTGCCCTCGGCAGCAACTTCCCCTCCAAATCGCGCCCTCTCCTGAGCCTTTCCAACACCCGAAACCCTTCACTCTCCGCCTCCGCATACTT